TAACAACTAAAGTGTTATGATGTTTCAAGTGTTTAAGTGTTATTAATTTGTATGAATTTGATTCTTGCAGGTGGCACTTTTGAAAATGTCATTACTCCAGTCCAAAATGAGATGTTCCGTCCAGAAGGAGCAAATTTAACTCTGTCTTATATATACTACAGTTGTATCACCAATATCCTGGAAAAGCTCCTCAGAATCTTTTAGTAATTCTATATTCTAGTAGGAAAGTTTCATAAAGGTCAGAAATTGTGGATCAAGATCCTCGATTCTCTGGAAAACTGAATGACAAGAAAACCCATGTGGATCTGGAGATCTCCTCTGTCAAAGTGACAGACTCTGCTCTGTACTACTGCGCCCTGGAGCCCACAGTGATAGGAAACACAACAACACTTTACACAAACTAAGACAGATCACACATTGCATCACTGTTAAGAAAGTATCAGACAATTGCATTTGAAACAGACAACTGGATTTGCAAGCCATAACATTCAGAAGTTTCTTACATATCATAAGTTGCAAAATGTGACAATAGATATGTTTTACATGTAATATTTGCCAAAGTACATTGGTCCTGTGTACTAAAGGACCACTAGATGGCAGATTAATCCTAGAATAGTCAAAAGATAGACCATAATATTGTACTTTTTTCATAAAGACATATTTTTCTAATGTACATTATTGGGGCTGTTACACTGTTTAGATGTTAAATAGTAAATAGTTGTCCTTGCATAGATTTGTATTGGAAGTGTAAGTGCAACTGTTTTCCGGACAAAAAAGGAGGAGGAGAATTTTCCTTACAGTCCTTTATAAGTGTATTAAAGAGTCTCTTATGGAGTGTCATAAGCTTTAAATCTTGATCAACTACAACAATTCTTGACCTGTGTGTTCATGTTGACTCCACTCTATACTGCTGCTCATTCTGTTTTTCAATACTATTTCAATTACAGTTTTCAGGGGAGGAGTTTGTTTGAGACATCTTTTGTGAGACAAGGGAAGAAGAGAAAGTTCAGTTGAACAACAGTTTATGCTGAACAAAAACACCATCCTACCCATCATCAACATGTTGCTCTGTTTAACTGCTTTGATTTGTTCTCTTATATGTAAGTATTACATTTATTTGTCTTTTCTATTATTTTGTCTAGTTGAGATTAATAAGTATGGAGTTTGTGTTAATTCACTTTTATGTACAATACATTTCCATAAATTTTGACTCTTGATTTTAAAGGTGGCAGTTTTGCAAATGTCATCACACCAGTCCAGACTGAGGTTTATAAGAAAGAGGGAGAAAATGTTACTCTGTCCTGTAGCTACTCCTCAGCCATCAACATGTTGCTCTGTTTAACTGCTTTGATTTGTTCTCTTATATGTAAGTATTACATTTATTTGTCTTTTCTATTATTTTGTCTAGTTGAGATGAATAAGTTTATGTTAGTTCATTTTTATGTACATTACATTTCCATGAATTATGACTCTTGATTTTGAAGGTGGCAGTGTCGCGAATGTCATCACGCCAGTCCAGACTGAGGTTTCTAAGAAAGAGGGAGAAAATGTTACTCTGTCCTGTAGCTACTCCTCAGCATCCACACTGCAGTGGTATCGCCAGTATCCCGGATCAGCTCCTGAATTTCTTTTGATAATACTACATGCTACAGGAAAAGTTTCACAAAAGTCAGAAATTGTGGAGCGAGATCCTCGATTCTCTGGGAAAGTGAATGAAGAGAAAACCCATGTGGCTCTGGAGATCTCCTCCGCTACAGTGACAGACTCTGCAATTTACTACTGTGCCATGGTGCCCACAGTGACAGGAAACACAAGAACTCTGTGCAAAAACACTCATACTGTAGTTGAATGTAGCAAACATTGAACGTCTTCATAAAATATTTTGGGGGAAAAAACTTCTACATGTTTGAAATACATATTTTTCAATCAGTCAATAATAAATAAATAATACAATTTTACCTGAATCATTGACAAAACTGAATCATAAGAACACTATTCAAATGCATTGCTCATCAATTACTGAAGCTTTTAGAAATAGTTACATACAGTACCCTGACAAGATGTATGGCTTTCATGTACAGAAGTAAAGATGTATAAAATAATGCTCAGCTGAAGTGCAATACTTACATGATATTACATCGCCACCTGCTGGAAGTCTTGGGAACAGAAAACTCATTGAAATAGTTGATCTTTTTGTTCTTTTTAGGACCTACAGGTCTCAGAGCAATGCAGACGTTGTGTGA